AAAAAAATAGTTATAAAGAATTTTTCTACATTTGACTTATTTTACATTTTAAGAAAATATTCAAAAATAAACATAAATTACTATCGATTACCTCTGAATAATGTATACCTGCATGTACCTATATATTCATATGAAATTCATTTATGTAATGTGATCAACATTAAAATTTTCCTTATATAAAAATGTATTTCCAATAGATACTCACCTCTCACACACCTTCTCCGTGCACCTCCCTTAGAGATTTGCATGCCACTAACCTTTAGACAACTCTCACTTAATCTCACAAGATTTCTGGTGATTTGCACTACTGTGCAATGACATTATTGTGCAGCAAAAGCCTTCTACCAATAGAAGAGCAACACAACCTCCCTGTTCACTAGCTCCCTCTATGCTTTTGCACTAATGATCTTCATCCTATGATGAGGTAAGAAATATGAAGTTGCACTAGAAGTGGAGAGGAAGGATAAGTATCTGTTAGAAATACATTTTCAGGTAGGGAAAATGTTAGTTTCCAAGGCAATACACACACCTCTCATACAGAAAGCTAGAATCTCGTGTTTATATGGTGAAGGGACTGGTGCAAAAGTTACCTATACGAGCTCCCTTCAGAAACCACATGAAGGAAACACATGGAGTGTGATACCCGATGGTAGAGGCTCCAGAGAGCACACTCGTGGGAGACCACATCTTATCCCTTCTAGGGTATACCCTTCACCCAGATTGAGAGGAAAAGGCAAACAAGCCCAGGTGTTACAGGTATGAGCATAATAAGAACGTGGCCAGCCGAGTACTTGCACACGAGAAGTCAGAGAGCCAATGTGTTTAGGGTGGTTGGGGCATGTTCAGACCATACTGAGTGCTCCCCTCAACTTTACTGTCAGATTTCTTGGACTGACACTGGCTATGGAAGGAGGGCACAGGAATTGTTGGTGCATATTGTTCTCAAATTTATCATTAGGTTCTTGGACCAACACCAGCTGCAGGAGGAGCATACAGAATACATGCCATAAATTGTACAATATTAGTACATGCATTGATTCAACAGAACAGTCATCCACAACAGGAGAAGGGCACAATTTATTAGGAAATGCTCACCTCATTTCAACTGAATAGGAGCTAACTGCAGATATTCAGTGGTTGTGTGTCTTCTGGCCCGTGGGAGGAGGGTCTCAACCATCTTCACCTCATAACCAGGAAGCAGAACAGAAAAGCAGCTTACATTCTGCAAATGCTATAAAACAAAGGGGAATGTACTAACTCGTCTAATGATGGTTGGTATAATTTAGGACAGCAAACGAAGGCAGGCAGTAATCCTCATGAGACAAGACATCCAGATGGCAAAGAAAGTGTGAGGTAGTACACATGCCAGCATGAATGATCTTGTCCAGCAGCAGTATGAAATGAATGGCAAGAGAATAAGGGAGGTGACAAATCTGATGGGACGAAATGCAGACATCTGTGAGCAACAACCTCTAAAGAGAAGGTGACAAACAAAAAATGTGGCAGACAATACCACAGAAAGAGATTTGTCTCTGGAGGAAGAGGAATCCCAGGGAAAGAAAAGTGGAAGATGGAAACCCTGAAAGTGAGAAGTATGAGCTAAGTGGCAATGAATGACACAAATGCAGCAAAAAGACTGTCCGAGTCCTAACCAGCATAGAAGAGTGAAATAGAAGGATGGGAAAGAGGAGAAGGGTAGAGGTTTCCTCCCCAAGTGGCTGAAGACAGAGGGAGGAAGGACTAGACAGGAGAAAGAAGAATATAAGGATGTTGGAGAGGGTATAGGACAAGTTGCTAGCATAAAAAGAACAACTGCAACCACAAGCAAGCAAGAAAAAGAATATGTTTGAAGAAAAGGCAGTAGACATTCCAGGTTGCCAATGGCATGAATGGGCACATGTAAGAGCATGACGGAGGACATTAGGGTCCCAGTTGGGCACAGGAGAAGGGCAAGTGTTTGTATGAATAAGGAAGGATCTGAACAAGGTGAAGAGAACAGGGATGGAAATACCTTGCAGTATAAAGCAGGCAAAATGGTGAAGACTAGGCCACCCAATAATCAGCAAAGTTGGACACAGCTGAACCCTGTAGAACAGCCTAATAATGGGAAGGGAGATGACTGACAGTAGAATGATTAAGAGTAAATTGGTGACAGATGGACTCATATCAAAAAGCCACACACACACACACACACACACACACACCCTTCCCATACAGGTAGAAGGACCAGATAAAATGATGCCCAGAAAGGAAGGACAAGATTCTGTGATGAGAAAAAGACAGCAGATGTAGAAGTAATAAAGTGCAATTGGCATGTGAAAAGGGGTTGGGTTGACAGATGGCAGAGAACCAGGGTTAAGCCAGCCAGAGGGTACCCCAAGAGGAAATGACAAAAAGGCCAGAAAGGTATGTGAGCATTATAACAAGTAAAAGACCAGATCAGGCAAAAAGGCAGTGACAGCCAAGAATGAGGGATGGAAAACATATTATCTGAAGAAAGGAAATATGAAAGTAAGAGGACTGACTAGGTAATGATGAGTAGAATCCTCAATAGAAACAGGGGAGGAGATACTAGGGGAAAAATACAGTCCAAGACCTGGTCATAGGACTCAGTACATGGGAGGCAAGAAAACCAACCCCTCGAGGATGGACCCAAAAAGGAAAGTTCAGAACTTGCAAGCAAGGGATTCTTGACTGGATTACCCCATGGCAGTTAATTTAGGAAAAACCAAAGAGTTGTTGAAATGGAATATATTGAAATTATCTTCTAGGAGTGGTAATGATAGTATCATACCCAACAATGTACCAGAAGTTCAAGCACATGGATATGGAGAGAAGACTCATCCTGGATGCATGTGCCAGATGTAAAAGAGATGTTCATGGATGCTCCCCAAAATGAGGGGAAAGCATAGGTGAAGAGTTGTAGATCCAGAATATAACACCAATGGTAATAGGAGATCAGTCCAGCCACTTATACAAATATCAGAATGCAGGAAGGGAGAGGAGAACTATTGAGGTCAAAGCATTCCGTGAGGCATCCTACAGTACCAACTGTGGAGATGCATACGTGTGTGTGACCCAAAGAGATAAGCAGTTCCCAAGAAGTTATGATCACCCAGACACAAAATCTCACACACACAGAATGAGTAGGACAGGCACAAATCCTAATGACACCAAGGTGTAAGAAGGCTTAATGTCATGGAAACAAAAAGAAGAATGGTAAACAATATGAGTCAGAGTTAGGATTACGAAGTTGCAAAATACAAGAAAGAGAAAAAGAATGGTGCATACCTGATATATCAAGGCTGATGAATGTGACAACGTTTAAGGATCTCTTCAACAGGGAGAGAAGTTTCCAAAGCCTAAACAGGTGAAGAAACAATCAAATTCATTCTTCTCCACCCCACAAATCAAGGGGAGAAATGCCTGATGAAGGGACTGGAGCTGAAGCACCTGGCAGCATAAGAGAATCAACTATCTTATCCATGTCATCTCCACGGAACATGCCTCCATAAACCATCATTATTACATAACCTGTGTGAGGATATTAGTCACTCACACAAGAAGAAAAAGATGGAACATGAATTAATGTTCATAGTTTGAAAAAAAATGGAAGGAAACTAAGTTCCCTCAAGATTGCAAATCTTGAAAAATTGACAAAAAAATAACACATCTGACATGTTATGTGCCAAGGAATAGAATGAAGATCATAAATGCAAAAGCATAGAGTAAGATAGTGCACAGGGAGGTGGTGTCAGCCTCCTACTGGAGGAGGGCTTTTGCTGCACAACAGCATCATTATGCAGTAGCTCAAATCAGGAGAAATCTTATCAGTTTAGATGGGAGTTGCCTAAAGGTTAGTAGCAGGGAAATACCTTTCTGCGTGAGAGGTGTGTATCACCTCGGAATTTAGATTCTGTTAATTGAATTTCATACATTTACACTGTGTTATAAGTTGCTGCAAGGCTTACCTATCTGATCATTACATGCTGTAGCAAAGTTATCTAAAAAACATGTTACATACAGTTTTATAAAAACTACACAGAATCGCTTTCAATAGTACATATACATTTTCCCTATGAGAATACATGCTGTAGCAAAGTTATCTAAAAAACATGTTACATACAGTTTTATAAAAACTACACAGAATCGCTTTCAATAGTACATATACATTTTCCCTATGAGAATACATGCTGTAGCAAAGTTATCTAAAAAGTATGTTACATACAGTTTTATAAAACTACACAGAATCGCTTTCAATAGTACATATACATTTTCCCTATGAGAACAAGAAAAATGTAGTCTCAGTAAAACTAATAGCCAGCACATCTAATGTAGATATATGAATTTAGGTTCCTACATTTATTTAAGTAACGGTAAATTGATAGTACAAAATATCTTCTTTTGTGCAAGACTTGTTTTCTTATTACAGTTACGATGTACTTGCATATAAGTTTATTACCACATGCAGCTAAGCTGAAGGAAAACAAATGGTTAAGTTTTCTATCTTAAAATGCATGATCAATGTTTCCTTTGCCACTTACAATACAAGTTCTCATTTAAAACATGCTATCAGAAGTAGAGCTGTACAAATAACAAGAGCTGTATTTTTTGTTTTCAAAAAGGAAAAAGTAAAGTAGGTACACGTAGTTTCTGATCTAACTGATTTATTACACTGCTAGACATATTTATAAACACAGCATGTAATTTAAATACTATGGTACTGTAGAAGGTGAAGATCTACACATGTAGAGTAATATATGTGTGATGGAACACCTACTGTATACAACTTTTATACACAGTAGACATAAAATCCTAGAACATCTACAAATACACACAAAGTTGTTAAAGTAAAAGATACACCTGTATGTAAATGTCACAGAATTGAATCCAGCATAACACTGGCAAATTGTAAAAACAATAGCCAGCTTTCTCAAATGGGATCTATATGCTCATTAGCTTTAAATACAAAAACATGGAGATTTACAAAAATGGCTTACACAGCGTTGGAACTGGTCTCCAAGTGCAGAATAAGCTCCACCTAATGTTGAAAGCCATGCCATAGCATTTTCCATAGTTGCTTGTTCTGTCACTAGGACTTGAATTTTGTGGTTCCTTTTATAAAAAATGAAACAAAATTATGAAGCATCATGTAAAATAATATGTACTTGCTTCAGAACACTGGTGACATTATTATGTAGTTTTAATATAAAAGCTACAAAAATTTAATTTAATTTTAACTGTTTACTATACTTACTTGATTGCTTACAAAATAGTGTTGAAACTAAAAACTAAATGCTCTTTCACTTTTCACAGAAAACAACAACAGATTGTAACAAGCTGACTGAACTTATGTAGAAAATTTTAATTCACTTTAATGGTGTTTCATGTACGGGTGAACTATAACTAAGGTACTTTTATTAGGTTAAATCCTGAAAAGCAAAGCAGACTATATTTTCTAATTATCTAATACAATATTGTTCTTTTTGTTGTTACAAGTAAACTGATATTATATTTCTTTATTAATATTTTATGTGTAGAAATGGAAAGCCAATTAATTTGCGGGTTCTTTATTACATGAAATCCACCCCCAATTAACAAAAGTTATTAAACATTAAAAGGTAAATTCGATGACGAGGTACCTGATGATGACAAAACCTTGTCGAAACGTTGTACATTTGCTGTCATGTTAAACTTATATTAAAGTTTTTCTTCATTACCCATTTAAGCCGTCTCCAGCCATTATTAAAAGGTAAATATATTGATATATTTGTACATGTACATTTACTGGGTTTCCAAGAACTTGCTTACATTTCCAAAGACACACACATTTGGGGGTATGAATCAAGCCATCAATGAGAGATAATACATCATAAAATAAGTGAAGTCTGAGATTATGAATAAGTAATGAATGGATTCAGATATTCCAGTCAAGTTGTGCATTATATTATTATACAGGGTGCCATTTCTAATCACATGATGGACATGAGGGAAGGTGCTCTGTAGAGTTGACTCATTCTTAGCAGCATTGCATAACCCCTGAACAAGATATGCCAAACTACTGAATGATGATGACTTGGACCAATTTACTTTTTTCTTGCTGGACAGCATTTTGTAGATCATCACAATTCACACAGAGCTCCATAACTATTTAGTACAAGACATGTTTAATTAGTATAGAACTTTCTATATCTTTAATGCCGTACAAACAGAAACCTTGTGGAAAAAGTTGGCAATGCCCATTTTCTCCTGTATTGACTGTAGGTTGGTTGTGCAGTGGCAAAATAAAATAACTGTGCTCTGAGAGTAGCAGATCTTGATACATAAAATGATGGTGGCACACTTTATAACAATAGATATTCTAAATGTACTCTTGAAGCTGATACTCTATTTGATAAAGCCCCAGAGTTTCTGCAAATATCTCTCTCATGGTCACACCATATACACTCAAAGTTATTTTTGAATCATTGAAGTAGCTATGGTATCATGAAAAAATTTGGATCATACAATAATTCACAAACCAAAATACTAAATTTAACACCGGACATTTTACCTTTTGTTTTTGTTTCTGCAAAACTAAAATTGTTTTTAAATTTTTTTTATAATCTTAATAATCAAATGAATAAAAATCATAATATTTTTGCAAATTAACAAATATAAAAATAATAAATTATCACCCTTAAATACATAATTATTGTAATAATATTATACCAAATACCCAAAACATTAAAGAGTAAACCAATGTTGTAACATTGATCAAGAATATGCTGCACATATTGTTGATATGTACAGGCATAAAAACAACTTCTGCAGCTTAAGGTTTGTAATTTAGCTTTTATACAAGTACCCTAACTTCAGAGTTACCCTACAGTAAGAAATCAGCAGTATATGTAAGAATGTCATAAAGCTTGTATTATGTAAGAAACTTCTCTGAATGCACATCTCATTACAGATGATTCATTCAAAAATTTGCTACGACGTGTTGCTCCACTGACTAAAACTTCTCAACTCATGTACACTTCAATATGTCTTCAGGATACACTGTATGACTCTGCTTTTCTTTTCGAGCTACCATACACATAAGAACTGCTTTGGTACTTAGTCCAGAGTTTACAAATCCCACAGTAGGTTACCAATGCCAGTTTTGGATCAGTATATTATTCCAAATCCATGAAGGATAAAAAAAGAGTGTACAGTTATATGTGTACAGGAAGTTCTGTTGTTAATTTCAAAGAGCATAAAAGAAAATTTTTAAATCCCACATGGCTGTAACATGACAACTAATATATAATGACAACTACAGAAATTTTAAAGTTGAAATGGATTCAATACATTTGTAATAATATAACCTGTAAAACCCGCAGATTTGAAAAATACAAAACATGACAAGGAGAATATAATGTTTTTCTGATACATTCCCACCTCAATACTGCACAGTAGATAATCATTCTGTCAGAAACTGAAAGTTTATTAAGCAGTATTATTTCAATTATGCAACATCTGCTACTCAAACAACTGTGTATTTTCATGGATAAGACTAAAATGATTGAAATAAATTATTGGAATACACCATAGTAAAGTTATAACAGGCAATAAATAAAAGACTCCATCAGATAATTTTATGTGCAATCAAGATCAGCAAGGATGAAAAATTATTTGTGAGGCCTATTATTAAAATATTGCAAATTTTACTAGTTGCTGGAGTCATTTGTGTAAATACAATCATTTTTTTTTATCTGGATTGAGAATAATGTATATACATGTGTATGAGTAAAGGTATCAAGTCTTCATCTTGAGTGCACCACCCACAGCCACAAGAGACAGCTAAAAGCAAATTACTGTAGAAATACATTGTCATTTGCCACTTTCACAAATAAAAGAAATTGGATGAGACTGTTTATTTCATAAATTATAATCAAGAAATTAATACCTACATAAAGGAATCTTTAAATGTGATGATTTAATGCTTAACCCTTAATTATTCTATCTCCTATCTTGAACAGTGGTTCAATTTTAACTGCTTCATGTAACAACATGCGTCCCTATCAGTTATAACATTGTTCAGGTGATGTGATTCTATCAAGATCACTTTGGTAGGAACATGATAATAAGCATACATTAAATTTAGCAGTATCTCAACACAGCAGTGATAGGAAAAGATAGCAACATATTAAATGCTTGTACTGCACCTTGTTACTGAAAATTAGGTAGTTCAGGATGCAGTGAAATTTAATCAAACCTTCTCTGGTAAAATTTTTCATCACATATTACTGAATTCTCCAATCTACAGCAGTACTGTATAATAGCAGCCTTGATATCTAACAAAGAGCATTTTGGTCATGCGTCATTCTTCTGTAAACTATGAGGAATCATGAAGATAGGAAAGTTTATTTTGAAAGTATTTGTCATGTCCTAAAACATCTTAAAAATTGCTGGAAAAAAGTAGTCATGATGAAATAATTAAGACAAAGGATCGTGAAAAAGTTAAAAAAAAGAAATACATGTCACATAAGCAGAAAGTTTTGCAAAGTTAGCCTCCACATTTCTGTTGCCTAATATCATACAATTCGTCAATCAAGTCCACCTCCAAACACATTTGATGATCATGTGACTTGTATTTCATACATACCACCCTTCCCTCTGGAAAACTTAGTGTTTGTCATAAAGTGATTGCTTCAAACAGAGTTGGTGAGATGGTGTGCGACATTAGATATACTGTAGCAGTATTTATTTGTGAGAATAACTATGTCTTCCAAATCTTTAACAGTGCAAAAGGTTAAGATTTGTTAGAACTCCTTTATCAAGTGCATTAATCAATAATGGGTGACAACAATTTATTTATATTTTTTGGTGCAATGTTCATGTAATCTATTTCCTTTTATTTTAATGATCACAACTGTGGTATTTTACATACAAAAAACTGTGTATTAATTAATTTCATTATTCAATTCATATGTTGTGAAATTTCCAAAATTTTGTTGTGAGACACATTAAAAAAAAACACTAAAAATACTTTCATCTTAGAGTTTAAATTTTTTTCTTATTTTTGATTAGAAAGTTCATTTTTTATATATCCAGTCGATTTCAACTTTAGTATTTTTTATTAACTCTTTTGAAACTATTTTGTTGATTATGGTAGTCATCACTCCTAGCTATAAATTGAAAAAGACCATATAAATTGACAAAGATTTATCAGGACCAAGATATGATCTTTCAAAACAGTGTCAAGTCAGGCTATTTCAACTAACACTATTCTTGGTCAAAATCTACTTGTATATAATAAATACTTTGTTGTCAATAAATTATAAGTTATTTTATTTATATAGTTTGTTTAAATGTGATAAAGTTTATAATAATAATATTTAATAAATAAAGATTTCAGTCACTAAAATATTTTGCTGTCACTACCATATTCTCTCTAAAGCTAATAATGTTTACCTGCTGTTTTGGGCCATAAATTTCAAACAAATAAAGTTTAAGATAAAAACATTTTCAGGAATAACAAACAATGTCTAAAGAAAGTATGAAAACAATTCCTAAGTCTTCTACAATTCACATTAAGTTCTATTTGTTGTTGTCTCCAGAAGCCACATCTCATGAAACCATAAATCACTTCTCACACCACTTTATTCTTTTTACAGATATAAACAGTCTAAAATATCCTCTGCCCTACAGTGTTGAAACTACGCCTGCAATTATTTTCAAATTTCTTATAGATACATGTAAAAGTATATATGGATTTGATCAACCTGAAAGTAAAAGCAAGGGTTAACATTTTCCTTACCTGAAAATGTATTTCTGATAGATACTCACCTCCATGCACAGATAAACTATTTTCCTATTGAAGTTATTACTACTTTGCCTTAGAGATCTGCATGCCACCTAAACTTCATGAGAAAACATGTGAATTTGCACTATTGCATAATGACATATATAGCAAAACTCTCCACCAATAGAAGTGCAACATAATTCCCTGTACAAATACTCCCTCTACATTCACGCATTAAAATCCCCATTCTTTGACGAGGCAAGCAATAAAAGTGCACCAGAAAAATGGGGAGGAATGGTGGGAATGTGTACAGAGATGAGTATCTATTGGAAATACATTTTCAGGT